AAAGAAAGAAAGAAAGAAAGAAAGAAAGAAAGAAAGAAAGAAAGAAAGAAAGAAAGAAAGAAAGAAAGAAAGAAAGAAAGAAAGAAAGAAAGAAAGAAAGAAAGAAAGAAAGAAAGAAAGAAACCGGGCCTTCTTGACAGTTGCTTCTCAGCTGTGGAATCAGTTACCACTCACTATTCTCCTGGCCCCTTCACTGGGTATTTTCAAGAAACAGCTTAAGACCTGGTTATTTTAGCAGTCATTTCAAAATATTCCATCTATGGAGCTTACTTAAATTGCTGCTACAGCCAAAATATTATATGATTACCGCCAATTTAAATGTTTAGTTGTCATTTAGTGTATTGTAGTATGTATTTTAATGGTTTGATTGTTTTTATTGTATAAATTATAGATGCACTGGTTTTTATGATTTATTATTATAATTTTGATTTTGATTGTCCTTTGTTCTTTTATGTTGTAATCTGCCCAGAGTGGCCTTTGGCCAGATGAGTGCTATATACAGTAAACTGACTGACTGACTGACTGACTGACTGACTGATTGACTGACTGACTGACTGACTGAATAAACAAACAAACAAACAAACAAACAAACAAATAAATAAATAAATAAATAAATAAATAAATAAATAAATAAATAAATAAATAAATAAATATTTAAAAAGTATTCTTTTTATGATTCCATAACCTAATCAAAAGTTTTGTGAATGCCCATTACACTCATTATTCAAGGCTGTGCTCCAGGTCAAATACACAAAGTGGGTTTATTACCTAGCAGGAGGAAGGTTTGGCAATAATTATACTGGTGTTTTTAAATATAATTTGTATATTGTTAGTAGATATGACAATCGTCTGAGTTGAATTCGCCCATTCCTGTCCATTTTAGTTCACTGATGCCCAGGATGTCGATGTTTATTCTTGCCATCTCCTGTTTGACCACCTCCAGCTTCCCAGGGTTCATAGATCTTACATTCCAGGTTCCTATGCAGTATTTTTCTTTGCAGCATTGGACTTTCCTTTCACTTCCAGGCACGTCCACATCTGAGCGTCCTTTCAGCTTTGGCCCAACCACTTCATTAGCTCTGGAGCTACTTGTACTTGTCCTCCGCTCTTCCTCAGTAGCATGTTGGACGCCTTTTGACCTGAGGGGCCCATCTTCCAGCGTCATATCTTTTAGCCTTTTGTTTCTGATCATGGGGCGTTCTTGGCAAAGATACTGGAGTGGTTTGCCAATTCCTACACCAGGTGGATTGCATTTAGTCAGAACTCTCCACTATGACCTGTCTGTCTTGGGTGGCCCTGCACGGCATAGCCCATAGCTTCTCTGAGTTACTCAAGCCCCTTTGCCATGGCAAGGCAACAATCCATGAAGGATTGTTGATTGCACCTTAACAACATCATCTTAAAAGATGATGCTGTTAAGGTGCTACATTCAATATGCCAGCAA